AGTTAGACTACAGGCCTTATTCATAAATCAGAAAATATTAAAACCCTAAATTAAGCAACCACACACTTCATTAGCCATCAGAATCATGACATCATCATACATGATGGCCTCCAGAAAACTCCACTCTGCACACCTGAGAGTGAAAAAGGCAGATAACATCTTAGTGTTGTCATAACAATAGCTCTGACCTTGTGGAGCCCCAAAAGGGATTTCCCAGTGTACCTGCACTTACATGGTATGAGACACCACCAGGTTAGTGGTTGAAATGTGGACTCTGGAGTCTGTCTGGATTTTATCTTGGCTCCACTGCTTTACAACTATGTAGCCTGGGAAGGTTACTCCACAGGGCTGCTTGTAGTATTTGAGAGTCCAGACCCTGAGCCAGATTGTCTGGGTTGCAATTACCTAGCTCTGCCTACCACTTGCTGTGAGTATGAGCAAGTTTCAGTTCCATCTGCAGAGTGGGGAACGTAAACCAATTACACTGTGGTAATTGGTAGTGTAAAGATTAATTGAGGTGGTATAGAGTAGTTGGGATCGTGTCTGACGTATCCTGAGCACTCCATCCTTGTTAGCTGTAATTATTATTGTTGTGAGGATTAAATGAGGTAATGTATGCAAGGTGATAAGCACAGGTCTTGGCCTAGAAGATGGAGAAGATATTATAGTCCCTAAGCTCCCCACCCTGTCCAGCATGGGAAGGTCATCCTGGGTCAAAGGAAGGTGTCAGAGGAATGCAGTTAGAAGGACCCTTCAGAGGCTCCCCAGCAAGGTCAAAACTGGTGAATCAAAATCTCTATAAGCTTTCTTGTCTTAGGTAGCAGAAACGGAGAAGTTTCTTCCAGCCAGTGGGCTTCATGGGGCCAGGCCTTGATCAGCTTTTAACTGTTGTGTCTTCACTGCCCAGCACAGATCCAGGCCTGAGCAGGCACCCAGGAAGTATTTGTCATGATTGGTGGGCTGAATGAAGGCGAGAGGCTTTGGCCATTAATTGGGGAAGGGAGGGAATAGTGACTTTCTTTGAGTTTGAGGTAGGAAGTTGGAAACATCAGATTAATGAGATCAATTAATAGTTAATAACTAACTTATTAAATTAACTTAAATTTAACACATTAAATTTAACACATGCTGTTTTAGATCCATTCATTGATATATGTTTGGAGACTGTACTTCATTAAGAAGTCAAATAAAGAGTCCTCATTGCAATCTGCCTAATAGGAAAGCAGAGAAGTCCTTTAGTTTCTTCTATATTATCAGTAAGTGCTAAAAACCCCTAAGACAGGAAAGTGCCTCTATTGTAGGGACAGCAAGGATGGGGGTGCAGGGAGACGGGGCTACTTAGAACAAAGGGGCTCCTAGTGGGGCTCTGGGTTGGGTACCTAGCTGAGCTTGTGCTTAGCTCTTTGCTTGGTGAGTCTCCTCCACTCATTCTCTGTAGACGGGCAAATGGCCACACTTTCTCTCGGCCTTACCCCTGCCTGCCCCTCCCACCTCAGCCCTAGCTGCTTCTCTCACCTTCTCTGCTTCGGACACATTGGTCTTTTTGTCCTTTTGCTCTCTGAGCCCACCAGGTTTCCCCCAACTCGGGATTTGGTCCTTGTTGTTTCCCTCTTGGCATGTTTTCCCTGTATTGTCACACGGATCTCTTTCTAGTCCTAAGCATTCTGTCTGAAATGACACCTCATCCCATCTCCATTGCTGTGTCCCCTTTTTGTCCTTGATTTTTCTACAGAGCATCAGGCATTGTATTTGATTTTATTTGTGTTCCTCACTGGAGTGATGCATTGCTGAGACAAATGTGTTGCCTTAGAACATTGCTGGCCCACCGGGGGACTCAGATATTTTAATAAGTTAATTGAGTAGATGCTGCAACTTGTTTTAGACAAGGTCGATCCAGGAAGTAATCCCAGGATCAGATTGTGATTCTTCAGTGTAAGAACCAAGATAACCCTGTTTAGAATATGATAGTACATGTAATACCATCAGGATATGTGTAAAAAAAAGAGATCCCAGTTTATGAGTGTGTGGGGAGAGATTTTTTTCTTTTTAATGTTCTTTTGTTCCAAAGGTTTACTTGTAAATTGGTTGCTTGAAATTGAGAGCATATCACATTTTCTAAGACAGGATTCTTATATTGACCCAGAAGAATACCTCAGAGTCAAGAAATTCAGGCACATGTGGAGAAAATACTTCCTTGATAGATGACCCTGCTATTTTATTTATTTCTATCCCTCCCTTTTTCCAAAAAAGCTTTTAAGTTAGCTTACAAAAAGTCATGTAGTCTTTCAAGTATTTAAGTGACACCAAACATTTCAGGCATACTGCCAAGCATGGGGAACGCAGCGTTGAATGAGATTACACATCTGTTTTCACGATACTCTCCTGGGGTGGGGACTGGGGGGGGGTCACATGAAAAACACAGAGTTATACATATAATTATTTAAAATTCTGATAAGAACTATGAAGGAGAAATAAGGAAGAAGAGAGGGTGCTTCTATTTAAGAAGCCCAACCCATGAGTCTACTTCTTCTACTTCTAGAATCATGGTTTTCTAGAAACGTTTCAGGCAACGTGCAGCCACAGCCACTGCAGTAGAGATTCTAAAAGAGAGGTGGGAGGGGGCCTGGGGCTGCCCCAAATGTGGATTGGGATGCTGTGAATTGAGGTCCTCCTACTATAGGTGAGTCCCATAGCTGTATGAAGGGCACTATAATAGCAGGAAAAGCTTTCCTCTACCAGGTTAATGAATCCAAATTAAAATGGTGGTTTGAGCTGGAGCAGGCAAATGCATAGGAATTTTTCTTTCTTTTTCCTGTGGTAGCTCTGCCGAGGCCCTTTATATTCCTGGGTGTTTCAGAAATTTTAATTTATGTGGTCTTCAATTTATACTCGTTACAAATTTCCAGTGGGAATGAGCATTCCTGCCTTAAGTGCCATCCTGCTGACATTTCCATGGAGGTCTGGAAGTTTTAGGGCAGAGATTCTCAGATTATATTCCAGCAGAAACCCCACAGTGGTTACTAGTTTAGGCTGTAGAGTCAGACTGGGGTTCAGATCCAGGCCTGGAGCAATTTAGGCAATGTCAGTAAACTTCAGTTTCTTCCTCTGTGTGTAGGGGGAGGTATTGATATACCTGCCTCTAAGGCTGTTGGAGTAAACTCTGTCAAGCATGTATGATGGTTAGCACAGTGTCTTGCACTGAGGAAGTTCTCAGTAAATATTTGTTATTAGTATTTCTGTAACAGTGCCTGGATGTATCAGTTTAGGTTCACAGACAGGCTGTCTTTTTACAGTGCTGTGCTCCTAGGGAGGTTAAATGGTGCTTAGGGTCCCGGGGAAGAAAACTCCATTTTACTGTACTAAATGGTCAGTGCTGATAGGACTCAGAACTCTGGCTAATACTTATTAATATTGCTTAATTTATCAGTGTTGTGAAATAATCATTATGTAGTCTAGGATACAATTTAATACCCTTCTTCCCTTTTCAAAAAACACATTTCTAAAAATCCAGCTGATAGATTAAAATTTTAAAACTGGAGATACTATATTTAGAAGTGAGAAACGTCTATGCTTAATTTATTTACATTTTTAGCTAATTAAAAGTACCACAAGAGCATTTTCTGGGGTGAATTTGATACTCCTATGTTTTCGATAGCATTTTTAGAGGTTTTGTCAGGACGAAGGTGTAATCAAACGGGAATAAAACGTTGTGCTTCTGAGGTGTGTGCACTGTTGGCTTGGCCCTGAGGTGAACCCGTAGATGAACCGTCTGTAGGTTTTCTCTCTCAGGCTTTCCAACTGAAGTAGGCCAGAGAGTAGGCGACTGTGTTCGTAATGACTGTGTGGTTTATTTCTCTTGAAGCAGCCTGTGGACTTTAAAAAAAACCCCAAAATGGAAATGTTAGGAATATGCAAATTTAGATGGCATTCTTTTCTTGGTACATAATATTCTTTATAAGAGCTTCATTGTTTTGGGAAAAAATAATCTTTTTAGCTTAGAGTTTGCTTTCTGCCTATGTTGGTTCCTTTGAAAGTCCTTGAGAAATGTTTCCCTTTGCAGTCAGATAAAACACACTCAGACTACAAAACCTATCGTTCTTAGCAATGTCATGATATGCACATCAGGTCTTTAGGGTATATGTGGTACTTACTAGACACTTGGTTTTCTTTGATGTGAAAGTTATTTTTAAAATAACAGTCAAGTCATGTTCTACCAGTTGGCTCAGATCTCTCCCTTCCTTACCTACATATGTATCTTATACTAATATTATTTCTTAGGAGTACGATGAATTCCACCCTCAACTTTGATAAGTAATTGTATAAAATGCTCTATTTTTTTAGTGATTTTGTGATATCATGGTGACTGCTGTTTAGTGACTTGGTAAACAGTGGTAAATTACTGCTTTCTGGCAAGGTCACATTTCCAGTGAGGGACCACAGTAAGTTGTACAAAAAACCAGTAAGTTGTAGTACTGCTCTGCTCTTGGGTGGAATGTATAAGCCCTGGTCAAGTTGGGGGTTGTTGCTGGGGGGATGCACGGATAAGGCAGGATGGGGCTGCCAGGATAACCTTCCTGGTGTGTATGCATTTAACTGGGGAATATTGATTTTTATTTTCTAAAAGTGCTAACATGCAGATGGGTAGCCTTTGATTTAAAAGTAAGCCTAAGCTGTATTTTGCTGCCAGATTCTATTTGAGTTTAAAGCAATATGATGCCAGAGATTTTTATATTTTAGAAATGGCTACAGGTGGCTGGAACAAAATAGATTAACTCAGACATGCTTGGAGATTGCAGTGGCTTCCTTTGGACACTCACAAACAAACATCAAAGCAACTCCTGAACTGCTTGACGTCACAATTTTTAACAAGTGCTTTGGCCTGGCTTGCTGGCTACAGATTTCTGTTACAGTTTTGCATATTTGCCTACAGTATTGGGAAAAAGCCCCACTGCTTGAATTTTCTTCCTTTTGCTATAATGCTGCTATGTTTTGACTTGTAGAACACTACTGAGCCTGTGGCAGCCACTGAGACACTGGCCGAGGTACCTGAACACGTGCTGCGAGGACTTCCAGAGGAAGTGAGGCTTTACCCATCTGCTGTTGACAAGACCCGGATTGGTGAGTACTCTGAAAACGAGAGGAGCAGTAAAGGGCAGGCCATGCTGAGGCTTCCTGGGGGGCATGTAAGGTAGGGAGCACACCACAACAGCAACAGATTTACCCCGAATTAGAAGATTATGTGGTGTTTGTGCATTTTCCACTCAAGAATCCAGGTTGGACATGGATTAGAAAAATACAACCAGGAACACACACACACACACACACACACACACACACACACACACACACACACCATTCTTTGTGACCCACCCAAGTGTCCCCCTCCTCTGAGTCTCCCTGGGCCTCTCCCACAGAATGTGTTGTTCCCTCCTCTCTGACTTCACCGTGATTTGAGTATGATTATGCTATTATCTTTACCTGATTATTTTATAATTATTTTTACATCTGTTCCCATCACTGATTGTGAGTACCTTCATTTCTTATTTATCTTTATGTCTCCAGTACCAGACACTTTATGGAACCTCAGTAGATATTTAAATGAAAAGTATGACCTGAGTAGATCTGAATGCTTCTGGCTGGGATTTCTCATTGAATACAAACCATGCTTGTGTGTGTTTGATCTTTGTGCCTAATCTTTAGACAGAAAGCTAAAGAAGTAAATTATAAAAATTTAGTCAAAATACAGTCTTGGAATATATCATGTTTATATCATTTCTTGTTTTTTTAAGATGTACTTCTGATATTCTAATTTTTACATATATGTGTATGTGAATAAATTTTTAGTAAATGCTTTCCTAATTCTCATTGAAAACAATGAGCAATTTGAGTATTTATATTATTATTATTATTATTATTTTTAGAGATAGGGTCTTGTTCTGTTGGCCAGGCTGGAGTACAGTGGCACGATGATAATAGAGCACTGTAACCTTGAACACCTGGGCTCAAGGAACCCTCCCTCCTTAGCCTCCCAAATAGCTGGGACAACAGGCGTGCACCATTGTTCCCAGCTAATTTTCTTTAAAGCTTTTACAAATACCTATGCTTCAGCAATCCTCCTGCCTCGGCCTTCCAAGGTGCTGGGATTACACTACACCAGGCCCTGAGTATTTATATTATATCATTCAGATGAAAATGGTTCATTTTATAGCTTAACTAATTGTCAGTAGTGTTGATGTAATTTATAGCAGACTTACAGAAAAGTGGAATTTGTACATCCTAGCTGGACAGGACTGGCCCAGGCTCCATGCCACATTCTGTATTTGAGGAAATTGAAGCTAAAAGGTGAGGGAACCTGTCCAAAGTGATGCTGTGTGCCAGTTCCCTGAACTCCGGGGCCAGCTCCTGCCATTTTACTGACTGCTTGCTTCCTCATCTTTTGTTTGCTTTATGGTCAGTGCATAGAGAACTGAATAACCACGAGAATACTATGAATGAACATATATTTGGGCTATTTGAAACTCTGTAAAGCAAGTTGTTCAGTAACTAGGTTTTCAGGAAGCTTAGCTAGGGAAGAGAGGGTTTTGCACTTTAAGCAATTTAACTTCAAAAATATTTATTCATAAAACTGTATTTCTGACCCTTTGTAAAAACAGCTCATGTTCATTAGAAATAATTTGAAATCTGTAGAAAAGCAGATAGAGGAGTTTAAAAATTATTTGCAGTTTCACTCCATTCCAGTATTTCTTCTCTTCAGTTGTGATTGTGTTATTCAAGTATTTGTGATTGTATAGCATGGGTAATTTTAGATGTAAAAATTAAAAACAAATATAAAACATTCTTTTCTAATTATAAAACAATATAGGTTCTTTACAGACTATTTAGAAGATATGGGAAGAATATAAAGAAGAAAAATAGAAATCCCCATTGAGGACTTGATTTAATTTGACTTAACTTGATCTCAGTTGATTTAACATTATCTTGCTTTTAGGCAATCCAGCCTTTTAACCATTTTGTGAAGCTAAATTAATTTTAATGCTTTCAATCTTTAAAATAACCACAATAAGTTATAAAAATATTGGTTTTATTTTCTAGGTGTCTGGGCCACTAAACCAATTTTAAAAGGCAAAAAGTTTGGGCCATTTGTTGGTGATAAGAAAAAAAGATCTCAGGTTAAGAATAATGTATACATGTGGGAGGTAAGAAAGAATTCTGGTTCTTTGTTTATCAGAGTTCTATATATATTTTAAAGAAATCGTTATCCTGTTCTCTCAGGATTGATATTTCAACATTAAAACAATTATTTTAATGTGTTCTTTAAAATCGAGAATATTTTTATTAAAGAAAAAATGTGTTTCCCTGGATACAGACTGCTATTTATATATGCTTTTGTATTTTGAAACTGCTTGGCTGTCCTCAACAATAAATGTCAAATCTATTTTTTTATATTGCCTTGTCTGGGGTGTTTTGCTTTGCAACTAAGACCTTGACTTCCTGTGTGATGGCCTGTCACTTTATAGGCTTCCAGATAAACACCATAAAAGACACTCCAGGGTGGCTACAAAGAAAACACCATTAGATTCTACTCTATATTTTTGAAAGTAATTTCTGTGTCGCTAGGGTATTCAGTGTTGGATATATTTAGCACATGGCACATTTATATAGAGCTTTTAATTTTTCAAAAGTCTTCTATTAATTTCCTGTTCTCACAACAATCCTGGAAGACAGAACAGAGAATTAGCATGCTCCTTTGAGAGGAGAAGCAGTCAGGAAACACAGATGAACTGCCCTTCCCTGTGGGGCCCCTGTTTGAGAGGCCTGTAGATGCAGAACTAGAATGTATCTGCCTCATGGAGAGGCGATTAGAAAGGTGTTCATTATACTGCCTGGGTTCAAATCCTACCTCTAGCTTTGTGACTTTGAGCAGGGTATTTAACCTCTGGGCTCAAAAATCCTCAATTTAAAAAATGAGGATAATAAAAAATATTTGATTAGGATGTTCATGGAAATTCAGCATTTATGTTGAATTTAGTTTAGGTTAGTGCCCTGCCGGAAGCTCCTCACATTTTTAAAGGAACTTCACAGTCTAAGTCCTTTTTAAAGCAAGCTAAGTTTTTGGATGGTGAGGAAAAGCATTCGTATCAGATTATCTGAATTGGATTACATCTGTTTTTCACACATTAACATATGAAAGCCTATGGAGAAAAAGATGGCCTACTGTGAAAAAAATAGAAACACAAAAGCTTAAAAATGGCTAGGAAATGTGTGGACACTTTCCATCAAGTTCGTGGCATTTGTATGTCTGAGGTATGTTGTTATTTTTCTTAATGCTATAAGCAGTGTTTTTTAACTTGAAAAACCTGACAGTTTCTCCCAGTAATTTTGAGTTTCTTGTGAATCTGTTGTAATGTATCTTCTGACTATGAACAGGGAGAGGGGTGCTTAGGAAATGAGGATTTACGAGGAGAATCATTGCATTATGTTATTTTACCACTTTTGAGGTACTCTATTTGTAGAAAAAATGCCTAGCTATAAAAATATTAATTACTGAAGATACTGCCTGCATGATTAAAAATGTCTTGACCACAGAATTATGCTCTCAAATAAACTACCTTTTTAATTTTAAATGTTTTCCAAGGGAAACTGACAAATATGCTCACCAGGTTAACATTAATTTTAGTGATGATAATGTTAAGGAACCAGCAAATGCTTATGCTAGTTCTGTGTGTTTAACACTAAGCTTGAACAAATGCTATTAATATTAAACTTAATAGTGCCTATTTTGCCCAATATAACAATTTGATGTTGTTGGGCATGTTGTATAAATTATTAAATAGTGCTTTTGGTGTAAATTAAGCTTCATTTGCACTGAAATTCACATATAGTATGACTTGATAGTAGCTTGTTGACAAATTATAATTTGAAAACATGACATATTATGGACTCAGTTTCCATAATAAGCTTGTTAACATTCCATTGTTAATTTAAGATGCTTCTTATATACTGCACTACTGCAGTTTGCAAATCCTTATGATATTGCTGGTTCTTTATAGTTAGGTTTAAAGATTTAATTCTTGTCAAAGCTGGCTTTTCCTTCCTGCAATTAAAATAATCTGAATCTCATTCAGGTAGTTCTGGCTGGTAGGTATATGTTTGATACAGAAACTTTTAAACCTTTTGCTATGTTAAAATAAATGTAGATAGATATGATATATACATAAATATGCATATGGCAAAGTATAGGAAGTATAAATTATAATGTACCTATTTCTCAAAAAGAAGAAAGTGAAAATTGAGGAAAGATTTAGTCTTTTCCCATTAATTTATTGCAACCCTGGTCTTATCCTCAGACTTGTATCCCAATGTCTCATATTAATGTAACAGAACCAGCTTATCATCAGAATCTCATCTTGGCATTTGTTTTTCCCCTCAAAGTTCCTAAGATCAGTTTATCTGTTAGCAGCAGGGTCTTAGATCCCAGCCAGAACTCCATTTTAAAGCTAATCTAAGACAAAGTGCTGAATTGCTTTTCTTGAGCCCTTGTCTAACCTAGTCTTAAATCCTCTAAGCTTTCACAGAAAACATTCAGAAACAACCAGAGAGAAACAGTAGAGTATCGTCAAAGTAAATGCACAAAATAGGTAGGTTCTCACAAGAGGAGAGCATTCTTTGATCAGTCTCTGGCCAGGAGCTGCTAGCCAACTGAAACTCAGGACTTCATGTAATACTTCTCTTGACGATTCCCATGTATGCTGAGTAATCTGCAGTATTTTAAAACTGCCTCTGATAAAATCCTTTCAAATTCACTTTTATGGGCCTCGAATTGCTTCTAATGAACAAAACTTTGGAATTGTTTGAATAAGAATTATTTTAATAAGTCTTCTTTTTAAAAGAGAGACTTAATTTTTTAGAGCAGTTTTATGTTCACAGGAAAGTTGAGCAGAAAGTACAAATAGTGCCCATCTACCCACTGCCCTGACACATGCACAGCCTCTCCCTCTGTCAGCATCACAGAGCGGTGACTTTGTTACAATCCCTGAACCTGCATTGACACTTCGTTATCACCCATGGTCCATAGTTTTTGTTAGAGTCACTCTTGGTGTTGTCTGTTCTAATGAGTCTTTTTAAAAAATTTAATATTAATACATGCTCACTGCAAAATAATATAAATAATGCAGAAAAATATATACAAGAAAGTAAAAAACCATTTAAACTCCTACCACCCAGGGGTAACCCCTGTGAATGTCTTCCTGAACATTGTTTTAACTCTGCTTCTCTGCCGCTCTTTTTATTCTGTTCCTTACACACGCTAGTACATATACAAACACTGCATATAGAAACGTATGCAACTGAGATCAAACGGAACATGTAGTTTTGTAATGTGCTTTTTTTCTTTCAATACATTATGGATATAGCCATGCCAGCTGCTTATTCACAGCATTATTTCTTATGCCTTCCTAGAATTCCGTTGTATACCATTCATGATTTATTTAAGCAGGCCCTATGTTGGACATTTAAATAGTTTTAATCTTTCATGTTTATAAATAATTCTTCAAAATATAAAGATCAGTCTATGTATACATATATGTGCTGCCTTGTCTGATTATCTTCAGATAAATTTCTTGAAATATAAATGTTAAGTCAAAAAGTTATGTACGTTTTAACCCTTCATAAATTTTGCCACAGCCCTCCAGAAGGATCTGTACTAATTTACATTACCACCGAGAATACATATTTCTTCCTAGCCTTTTAAAACCCCGTATTGTTCATCTTTTTAATAATTTTAAAAAATTCATTCTCATAGATGAAAAATGATAGTTCACTGCTTCTATTTGCATTTTGTTCATTCAGGCAATGAGTCGGGATGAAGGGAAGAAATAGAATTTCCTATCAGTTAAAATTGATAGAGAAATTGTCTCTTTATAATGAGAAGACTTTAATATTTTTTAAGGAATTGAAAACATTTTTTATCAGTCTGCACTGTTATGATTAAATATTAACAAGTGGTTTTATAGACCTTGCTATTTCAATTCTTCTAATATCACATTATTTGTAAGTTAAAATTGCAGGCAAGAAGAAAAAAGAGAGTAGTTAATCAGCTGATTCTGCAGAGCCTTTTTTCAGAAAGTACTACTCAGCTCTCACTGCTGCTTTCCAACTCCCAAACGTCAGAGTCGTACTGCAGGGAAAGGTCTAGAGTGCCAGGGAAATCCAACCTGCTGCCTATTTTTTTTTTTACAGCCTGGAGCTAAGAATGGTTTTTACATTTTTAAATGGTTGAGAAAAATCAAATGTTTTGTCACATGTGAAAATTATACAAAATTCAAATTTCTGTTCATGAATAAAGTTTTATTGGAACACAGCTATAGTCACTCATTTACATATCATCTATGGCTGCTTTTGCCTTATAATGGCAGAGTTGAGCAGTATGACACAGATCGTAAGGCCTGCAAAACCAAAAATATTTTTGTGTGGCCCTTCACAGAAAGTTGGACAAGCCCTGGTCTCAGTGTGTAGAGAAGAGAAGCAATAGGAGTGAACATGGTGATGTTAGGTTTCAGGTTTACTGAGAAGCTGGCAGTGCACAGATTTTGAACTTGGTACTTAAAAGTGGGGTGGCTGTAGAATTGGTTGTTATAGAAGTGGCTGAGCTAGTCACTTTCTTTTTCTCTCAGGAGCTGTGGGATAGACAAGAAGGACAATGAAGTGCAGAGAATTAAGTGATCCTTTCGAACAGGTTAACCTATACTCAGATTGGCAGCTTGGTCTGGTGCAAAAAAAAATCTCTGAGAATTTATTTATTAACTCATTTAATACCTATTTGTTAAGCTTTTGCCATGTACCAGGCACCGTCCTAAGTTCTGGAACACTAAGCCTGGCCTATAACATGAGTGGTGTTTTAAACCGGTAGTATCATGGAGATTTTTATTTGTGGAATAAAGGAATACTAAAAATGACCTAAATCTTTCCACGGATGAGAAGTCTGAGTACCAAGTAGCTTGCTTGGTATTTTAGATCTGTCATTCCTCGGGTAAGGCCAGGAGCCCGTGTTCCTTGTTGCCTGCTTAGTTCTTTCACAGTAGCAAAGCCTAGATGCTGTTACACTTTTTTGCATTGCGAACCCTTTTGAAAATCTCCCCAGAAAATATATAAATGTACATATATACACAAAATTTTGCATATTATTTCTAGGATTACA